CTTATATTTATTTATAACCGTAAAAAAAAAAAAAAAACAAAAATTTCTTTTTAATTTTCACAATGAAAATATATATAATAATAATAATAATAATAATATCAATATTAATTTTTTCGTTGTAATTTTGTATTAATTTTACTATAAAATACCTCAATACACGTAAAAAACGAAAAGTACAAATAAAAAATTTGTAATAATATTTACAAAAATTTATATGTTATGTTAACAAAATAATAATAATAATGATAATAATGAGAAGAAAATTTACGTGTGTACAATCAATATCTTATTATTATTTATTATTTGATCATTTTAAATTTAACGGTTTTTTTTTTTTAATAACAACATTTAAAATGATCACGATTTTGCCTGCCATATTTATTTTATGCATCGACGACGACAAAAAATTATTATTATTATTATTTTTTTTTTTTTACGGTTTAATTTACTTTATTTAAATGTAATATTATTATTATTATTATTTAAAAATGAATTATGTGTTATAAAAAAATCGCATTTAAACAAATAATAATTGATTCGTATGAAACCGTAAAAAATTATTTGCAAAAAAAAAAAAATTTTCTTTTTATGATGCAAAAATAATAATAATAATTATTTAATGAAGTTTACGAAATGACTTTTTCCCATTATTCAATATATATACTAAAATAATATTAACAAATATTTTATAATATAAAAATAATTAATTTTTTTTTCCAAGAGCTGTGATTGAATGAGACTGATTATATCGCCAGTTTCGTTCGATATATGAGCTCACGAACGTTAACTAGTGGTAAATTAAATAATAATAATAATAATAATAATAAATAAAATACAGGTTATATATAAATATTAAATGAATAAAATAACAAAGAAACAGACTGATTAAAAATTTTTTTTGTTTTCTAGTCTGCTTTGAGTTATCAATGTTTTTTTTTTTTTTTAATTTTGTTATCAGGTATAAAAAATTTTTATTATGTTCTACCTCATTGTATGAAAAAATTAATCGGTTGTTTGTTGTCAAAAAAAAATAAAAAAAAAGACTGTTTGCATCTTATAAAAAGTTTTATAAATCAAAATGGTTTGATTCAATTTTATAAAAATATTATAAAGTTTTTCTACCTCATCATTGACAATTATTAAAAAAACAACCGATTAATCAAATTTCTCAAATATATGTATCAATAATTACTATTTTCATTAAAAAACAAATGATTGTAATAATTTTTTTTTTTACTATCACTAAATTGACATTTAATTTGAGCAATTAAATGTAATAATAAATTTTGCATTTTTTTAAAAAAAAAAAAATGAAATATATATATATATATATATATTTAGTAATATATATATATATATATATATATATATATATATATATATATATATATATATATATATATATATATATATATATTTCT